GCTAGATCTTACATGCATAGATTCTTCATGAGATTGTTTATCATATATTATAGACAAAGTTACACAATTAGCATCTATTACTCAATTGGAGACCCATCTTCACCCCTATCGAGACCATGAATTATTTTGCTGGTAGGTTTTTTATTTTGGGAGAAGAATTTAACCCCCCTTCCATGATTTATGGTCCACATAGACCCTTAGGTCCATGTAAATACCATAAACCTCCCCAACTTTTAGAAAATACGACCAATACTTCCCTACCACATTTTGTGCATATATATATATATATATATAAGTTTATATAAAGTTGATACCTTGAAATGTAGAATTAAGGAGCACATCTAAAATCTATAAAAAGAGGTTGTTTTGATGTTGAAAAAGCATCTAATTAATCATCTCAACACCCAGATGTATAGATATGGAGAAATAGAGAGATTTCAAGTTTTAAAAATAACACATTTTACAACACATTATCTGAACCGTCAATTTTCAAGATTTCATATGTTTATAAATCTGCTTGATTTGAACTATTTTTGGAGTTTAAAATTTTATTATTGGATGTAAAAACATATTCTCGGACCAATCCAAAGAATTTTTGATACCAAAATTGCATCTAATGAAAATTTTTGGAGGTGAAACTTAATTTGATTGTTAATGGTTGTAACCTTATACAAACCATACCCATACAATAATATCCCTTTTTATTTTAAAAAATACAAAAATTATCTTATTTGCACGATTTTCTCTTTCTAGCCCTTTCTCCAATTATCTTGCCAAGAACTTTGGGGGAAAAAGTGGCGGATATCTCTATCCAAAAGAAACCATTGGATTTTCTAACTACCCAGTGAGAAGAAGTAAAGAGATTTTGTGAAAATTTGTAGCTTTAATGGTGGAAAACTCTAAAATCCTTGACTTAAATGGTGAAAACTGGTGAATACACAGCTTGAAGGATGTTAAGACAAAAATTGAATGATTCTTCTGCAAGTTAATGGAGTTTTTAGTTAAAATCTATGTTTTTTTAACAAATGGAAAAGCCATTTCCCAAACTGAGCTCTGTGCCATATGGTAAGAAAACTATTTCCTTGGGGGGAAGTTAATCTTCAAAAAAAGTTTTTAATTGTTCAAAAAAAGAAAACTATTTCCCTCGGTTGAAATATGTCGGCTTGTAGTAAAGGCCTAGCTTTTTATGCTTCTTCAACAGTATAAAACTTCTATACTTCCCCTTATCCATCCATCCATTCTGAATGGAGGGTTAAGATTGCCCCAATCACAATGTGACGTCTCTACACTATTTTATTTTTAATTTTTTTTCTATAGACTATTTTGACACCAAATTTTGGACGTCCAATCCTCTATTAAACTTGTGCTAGCAAAAAATATAAAAAAAATATTTTCGATAAAATAAAATGACCAAAATACCTTTGAAAAATTCAATGGGTATTTTGGTCATTATATTTTATCCAAAAAGTTATTTTTAATATTTTTATAGGTGCGCCCCATTGAGAAGATGACACATACAAACTTTCATATTCATATAATTTGTATTAAAAAAACTAAAAATAAAATACTTTAAGACGTCGGATCTAAGATCAAACAGTAAGTGATTCTTTCGATCAAAATTGAACCAGGGAAAGCCTATATCTTTTATGTTGTAGCAGAGAAACCTTTTCCGAAGTTTAGGTACAAAGAAGGGCTGAACGTTGTGAACACGCAAACAAGGAAGAAATGTCCTAAGTTGTCACGTTCATGTCCCTTTCACCTATTCCTTCCATCACTATGGGAGAATGTTAAAAAAAAAAGGGAAAAGGTTTATATAGAGCCGAGGCTTTAAACTATCAAATTTGAGTCTACCTCAAAAATTTTTTTAGAAGATGTTGTTTTGATGCTCAAATATCCTCAAATTGATCATTTCGACATCAAGATGCATGGACATGAGAAAAAAATGGATTTCAAATTTTCAAAATAGTGTATTTTGTAACACATTTTTGGATCGTCAATTTTCAAGATTTTCAATTTTTCATAGATATGTCGATCTACACTATTTTTGAAGCTTTAAACTTTATAAAAAAAGATAAAAATATATTTTAAGGCTATTACAAAGATTTCCAGTGTTAGAAACCACATTTCTCGACACTATTTGAAGGTAGGCTCTAATTTTATTGTTTAGAGCCTAGGCTCTATACAAAACGCACCGTTGAAAAATCCCCAAATGGTCCTTGTTTTGTATTGGAAATGCTGACATTTTGGGGTATTTTTATCATTTGGCACGAGCAAGGCATTCGTACAAAGTAATGAAATTACCCCTAATAGTTCAACATTAGGAAGGTGGAACATATTTTCAGAGATTTTAAACATGAGCAATAGGGGTAATTATGTGGCTTGAGTGAAATTATTGAAACTTTTACCCAATTTATTTTGTTTTAAAAACACATAATGGAGTTTCTTTCTTTGAAAATACATTTCTCATGTCCCATATTCTTAATACTAAAGTTTGAGGGGGAAGCTTAAGCAAAATGACCATTTTAAACATATTTGTTCAGCATTAGGAAGCCATATTAATATTTGTTCAACATTTGGAAGCCGGATTAGTATTCATACTCACATATTCAATTGATCACTTTCATATTTTCTGGTTAGCTGGGCTAATGGAGTTGTATTAAAAGAGAAGATAAAGCGTTGGTAGGAGAGATCTTTTTATGGCAAAATATTCCTACCAACTTTTCGGGTAGGCAAGGGAATGGGCTAAGCTCAGTCTGGTCGGCCCAGCCCTAAAAAAGTTGACTTGGGTGACAAGATATGGCCCAAGGGTGGGGCTATCAAGACTTGAGGCCCAAGTTTGTCTGGGCCTGGGCTAGGACCTTGGTAGGGCTACATCTATTTGGACCAACGTGGCCCTTTTTTTCTCTCTTCTTTTTTTCTCTTTTTTTAGATAGTTTTTTATTCGGGATGGAACTACTTATCTTTTATACACAGTAGTCACAATCATTCTTTGTCCTTTAAATTTCAAAATAGGTTTTTATAAGAGTGTCATTGAATAGACATAAACTTCCATAAAAAAAATTAAAATCTTGCACTTTGTAACTCACTCAAAGTCATCCAATTTGATATCTAATGAGTGGGGATGATTGAGACCTCCATGTATAAAAAATAAATGATTTCTTTGTAAAGAATCCCGATCCGGATGATAAAATAGGCCTCAACAATGCAAAAGTTTACTTTATATGCTCTTGGTTAGTAAATAAAATTTCTAATTTTCAAGAGAGAGAGAGAGCATATGAGGGGAAAGCTTTTTATATGATCCAACTCACATTACGTGATCCCACTTCTTGATCGTTTGATTTGAATAGACGGTTAGAATTGCTCATGGCACAATGTTACACCAACATACTATAGGATTTTTAATTTTTTTCCCCAAAAGTTTCAAGGGTATTCTAGTGATTTTGCAGCAAAGGAAATAACTATTTTTACTATTTTTATATTGTGATCCCCTATCAGATGTATGCATACGCTAAATTTTGTTGAAAAATAATATATAAAATTAAGATTAAAAAAAAACATTGTGAGCCATCGGATAAAGATTTGACGCTCGAGAGCTAAGTTGTGACATTGTTACTATTTTTATCTTGTGTGCCATATTTGCATACCCAAAGTTTGCTACAAAATAACTTATAAAATAAAGATTAAAAATAGAATACTATGAGCCATTAGATCAAGATCCCACGCCAAGAGCCAACTTGTGATATTATGACTCAAGCCATGCCAGCCATCTACTCACATCTACAGCAGAAAGCAAGGGTCACATATACTTCATATGTGCTTTCCCATAAATGAGTAATTGTTTTTATTGAAAAAAAGAGAGCACATAAAGCCATTACGTCCATGAACCTTTAGAGCCTATTTGGGTACATGGGTTTTAAGAAATGGATTTCTTATATCTTGGATTTTGCCAAAATCTATCGTTTGGATTGTTTAATGACTAGGATACTTAAAAACAGGAAAATCAAAATCATGAAAATAAGACCTACTTTTCCATGATTTCATTTCCACACCAAAACCTGTTTTCTTTTTGCATATCTAAAGCCCATGGATTTCACTCATTGGCTCCCTCAACCTAAATATAAAGAGCATTTGGTAGGTATGAAAATTTGGAAAAAGCGTACTTAAATTTTTTTAAAGAGAGAAACTATCTCAAAATTTTTAAAGAGAGAATCCATGAATTTTCTATAGTTTATCCAAACAAGAGATTTGATAAATCCATGAAACAAATCCTTGATATTAAAAATCCATAAATTTCCTTGGATTTCAAATATATAAGATTCCTAATATCCTTGTATCCAAAGGAGCCCTTAAAGCTTTTAAAGCAGGAAAAAGCTCAATCAAACCTATATTCATGTGCACCAATGAAAAATACCCCGTTAAGGGAAGATACGAAAACCCTAAAAACGAACTTGCAACCGATCTACAAAAATCCCTCATAAACATGCATTAGTGTACAGTAAAAGCAATGGTGTCTCAAACTCCATTGTCTCCAAAGGGTAGGGCTTAAATCCCCATTTACTTACCTTTATATCCCCCCCAAAAAAACAAATTTCATTTAATTCAAAAACCATTAACGAATTCAAAATCAGGTACGAGCTGTCATCCCCACTGAATTACCCCCAAAAAAAAAAAATCTCCATTTAAAACACAATTTTTATTTACCCCCAAAAAAAAAAATTCTACACGCTAATGGAGGAATTGTATCATACACCATAGGGAGATCCACCTCTCATCTGTCGGAAAGTCACCCAGTACAGTTAACTCCACCAATTGTCATGGAGAATGAACGGCAGATCTCCCTGAGGTGTATGATTTAACACACCATTGGTGTACAGTAAACTTTGAAGTTACTGCAGCATTGTTCAAAATGGATCTAAGAACCCGCTAATCTTCTTTTGCGCAATTGGTTCTCTCTCTCTCTCTCTCTCTCTCTCGCACACACAGACATGCACACACAGATACACACATGGATGACCTTGTCTCCTTAAAAACTAAGGACTCGAACAAGTTTGTTGCAAAGAAAACAAAAAATCAGGTAGATGGTGTCTGTTTCATATAACCACTAACCTGCAAATACAACTCAAACTAAACAATCAAGATGTAGAGTTTGATCCACAGTACAATCCAAATAAATGCCCCAAAATTCTCTTCAGAAGTTCACCACAATATGAAAGCAGCTAACTATAACAACAAATAATCGAAATCCATCAAATACCCAGTGCACACATCAACTTGGACTGAAAAGATTCATCAATGAGAGAGAGAGAGAGAGAGAGAGATTTGAGCATGTTACCTCTATTTTAAGACCACCCATTCTTTTAAGAAGACAATATGCTTTAAGCATTGTCAAGGATATCACTCTGGCAAACTGGGGGCATGTTGTTCCAAAGGCATGAACCAAGAGTCCATGCTTGATTCGATGCAGAGGATTCAGTTGAGAGCTGCTTGTATTCATTGCAGAAGTCTTCAGAAAGGAGTGATGTGATTGCATCTGTGACCCCTGATGGCTCTTTGCCACTCTCCCAGCTTTGCTCATACCAATCAGAAATAAGCGAGGTCTCACGCCTATCGAAATCCATGAATCTGTCTTCCCCATCTGAATCCGAGAAGTGCTCAACTGCTTCTGTCTTCACAAGGGCACCTGCATAATATAACATACATTCAGTCATTCATAAACACTAATACAAACATAAACAGCAAAAATTTTTTATAGTTAAGCATAGATACATTCATCATCACCATCATCATCATCATCGTCCGAGCATTGTCCCAACAAGAATAGATACATACATGCATACACAAATGTCATCTACTTTTTTTATCGTACATACACATATACAAATACATGCATACATGCAAATATAACACATAGGGTTCAATGTTTTACAGTTTATGGAACCCCAATGCTGGAATTGACACACCCTAACCAATGAATGCAGGCTCAATATCACTAAATAAAACTAACACCCAACCTAATGACGGTTTTGGAAGAGCGAGCCAAGGATTCTCTATCATAGATAATGTGCTCATTAGGTTCCCCCTTCCCACCCTCTCTCACGCACTAACGTGCTCACACAATGCAATTTTCCTTAAAATTTTTTTTTTGTGTTTTTTCTCCATAACCCCTACAAGTACTGCAGCTTTCAATGTTTTAGTTCCTTTGCCTTCTCTTTCTTAGTTTTCCATTCTCTTCGTTTTTTCATGTGTTTCATCCCCTTTTAGGAACCCATTTTTCTTTTTCTTTTTTTGTTAGATTTCATGCTTGCTAGTTTGTTGGCAACTTCACCCAACAACTGTCTAATTCTTGAAATAGTTATGTTATTCCTATATCTTTTGCTTCTTTTGAAATTTCCCCAATTTCTTCTAGTTTAAGTTCTTTAGGGTTTTCTCTGCTTCAACTTTTTCTTTCTTTTTTCGTTTCTAGTGTGCTTTCTTTATGGTTTTTATTGTTTGAACTGTATTTTACTTCTCGTCTATTTTTTGGTTGGGCGAGAATGGGACACAAGTTTGAAACCAAATGGTTGAGATACTAGAGTTCCATAACACAATCCAAAGAAGTCCATTATTCTTGCATTTAATTTTTATGCTGCCTTACCTCTTCTCAGATTCAGAAATTATACACAATTTGGATGTTAGAAACTTTCTTGCAAATAAGCCAAGTGTTCATATCCAATATATCTCAGCTCAAAGCATAACAATGCAACACAAAGTAACACATCAAGCAGTACAAAGCCTCAAAAGCTCTTTAGAGAATAGAATGGCATACACATAAGCACAGGCACAGGCACAGGCACACGACCAAAACACGAGCAAAGTAAAAATAATAACACAATTTATCAAAATAAACAAAATAAAACAAGCATGTGATACTACATAAATGAGAGAGTGAGGGGAAATATGCTCACATGGCGATGCTTTGGCAGGTGCGATCTCTTCCAGAAGGCTCGTCGTGCTCAGAGGGGGCGTTGACTCGCTTAGGCAAATGGCTGCTGATTGCCCCAATGGAGAGATGGGATCTCTAAATCCCCCCCACTCTTCACATGTGTTCACCCTCCTATGCTCTGAAAGGCCAGCAATGGGACCAACAGAAGAAGCCCTAGGAGGAGGGCCCACCACCTCAGAAGAAGCAGGGCTCTTACTAGCACTACTACCCAACGCATGAGACTCATGAAGCAAAGCATCTAATAGACCGCTACTTCGAGGTGAGAAGCACTCATTCTGAGTAGGTGGTGCCATGGAAGGAGGTGATTGGATATAAGACTCGACCGCCTCTATATTTGGGGGGCCTGAAGGGCAAACACCCCAACCTTTAAGGTCGGAGAGGTCTTGATATTGGAGTGAAGGGAGCTCCATCTTCACAGCCCCACAAAGGGGCTTAGAAGTAGAGAAAGTGCCATTTAAAAGGGCATGGCTACCCGTTACAACGCTCCCTAACAGGGCATTGTTCTTTTCGATGGGGTCAGGATCAAACGGATGATGACCTAATGAAAATGGGCGATGGAATTTCTCATTGGTTTCAACATGAAACTGATTTTTTCGATAGTTTTCACTTTGAAATTGATTTAGGGGGCTCATTGGGATGATCCCATTGGGGAAGGTTGAAAGAAGGGACGATTCACCTCCTCTAAGCCTCTTGGGGGGGTGGACCAGCGAGGGGGGTATGAAGGGGGTGTACGCTTGGTGGGGCCCCAGGCTCCGTGTTAGGATTCCACCATTTGGAGCCTCAGAGAAAGGTGGGACAAAAGGTAGGGTTAGAGTTTCAGGGTTAGGTTTAAGGGCCTCAAATGAGACATGAGGGAAATCAAGCTTGTTGGATTGGAGGAAGTCAGAATGGTGGTTTTCATTAAGTGTGAATTCACCAATATTTTCGCTTTGTTGGCCTTCTCCTGTTGCTTGCAAATGCAGATCGGGGGGATAGAGGGGTAGACCAGCACGTTGCCGACGCTTGATGCGGGTGTTCCAATAGTTCTTGATCTCATTGTCAGTGCGCCCTGGAAGCTGAGAAGGGAAGGAGAGAGTATCATCAAAAATTTGGGTGCATGTGTATGTGTGTGAAAGAGAGAGAGAGAGAGAGAGAGCAGGGTTTGCTTGAAGATGGGAAAGATTACTAAGGAAACACACCAAAGAAAGATTTTTTATGCTAAACCTCAATGAAATGAAGTGTGACTTTGCTTCATTATTATTAAAATGAAGGAGAACTTAATGTTTCAAAGTGAAGAAGAGCTGAAGAAGAACAAGAGGAGAAAAATGAATAATTTGAATAGAACCGGAGGAAACATGTCAATAGGGCTTCTTTTTGGATGGGTTTTCTTTAAGAATAAGAGGGATGAAAATAAGACCGGTGAGTAATTCAAGTTTCAAATTATGCAAATTCATCAGCAACATGACAGTCAGAGAACCACCAATGAGAGGAAAGAGGGTAATGGGACTCATTAAGATGGGAAGGCTTACTGGATCATTTTAAGATGAATGATTTGTTTTTAAAAATACTAAGATGAGAGGAAAATACAATTTTCAAATCAGAGAGCCACCAAAACGGGATTCCTACAGGAACCTAATACCTAATCAAAAGAAAATGAGAGGACGCATGCACAAAAGGTTTCTTTAAGAAGATAATAATTACTTTTTCAGGCTATCTTTTTTTTTTTTTTTTACCCCTTAATAGTCAAAAGGGGTCATTTCTTCTTTTTTTTCAGATAATCAAAAGGAGAGAGACAGAGAGAGAGAGAGAGGGGGTCTTTTATAGAAGGACCTATTATGCGATTCATCAGCCACAAAATGAAAAGTCACACATTTAGAAGAAGAAGAAAAAAAAAAGAGAACTAATGGAATAAACTACAGTTTCTTTAAATATAAAATACACGTTTGGGCAAATTAAGGATCACTTGAAGAAAGAAAAAAGTCATGTCTCAAACTTGATAAATAAAAATCTGGAGAATGAAAAGCTACAAATTAAAAGAAGAGAACCCAACAAGTAATAGGACAATTTACAGCGTCTTTCTTATTTTCTGAGAAAAGAATAAGAGAAAGAATAGAGCAACGCTTTGTCTCATAAAGCCCCACCAGCCATGAATCATTAAAAGGAAGCAAAAGGCATACACCTGTCAATAAATACACTTCCAAATGGAAATAGATGAGCATGTACAATCATAGACCCAAAAAAGAAAAAACTGAGAAAAGAAAATGAGGATCCATATCCCTAATCAAATAACCAATGCTATCAGTTCAACATTCATGTTGAAGGTGATGATGTGTCACAATTAAGGATCACCTCAAAAAATAAAAAAGAAGAAAAATAATATAACTCTACCAATAAATATTACTTTTTCAAAACAAATGAGTGGCAATCATAACAAGTAGCACAAAGAAAACTAGAAATCCATAACCAAATAGCAAATTGGAACTGTGATTAGCACATCATTGATGATGTAATTATGTGTACAAATTGAGGATCACCCTAAAGATGAAAGGAAGACAAATCTTATTTTGAGAAAATAACAGAGAGACAGAAAGATTGTTATTTAATACAAAACTGATGAGCAATTGCACACATACCCAGTATCAAGTGAAAAATTGTTATTTAGTTCACTACCAATGAGGATGCTTTGTGAGAATCAATGATCATCCAAAGATCGAACTAGAAACAAAAAGTAAACATCTGCCAATAATAATTTTTTTCAAAAAAAAATATACATCCCGCCAATAATTAAGCTTTCTGCCAAAACAGTTGGGCAGATTTCCACAGACACACCCTCAAACAAAAAAACAAATAAATATGGGAGAAAGGGGAGGGAGGGTGTGGATCCATAATAGTGCCAAACAGAAAAAATTCTTAATTCACAATTCATGATGATGATGGTGGTGGTGATGTGCATACCTGAGAAGCCATTCGAGCCCATTTGTTCCCGATTTTAGCATGGAGCTCGATGATCAGGCGCTCCTCATCTGCAGTGAAAGCCCCTTTCTTCAAATTGGGTCTAAGATGGTTTGCCCACCTTAGCCTGCAACTCTTTCCGCAACGAGAAAGCCCTGAGTGCTTTTGCACTGCATTCCAGTTCCCTTCTCCATGCTTCTTCACATATTCTATCAATACGGCATCCTCGGCTGAAGTCCACGGCCCTTTCTTCAAAACCCCACCTCCTCCACTCCCACATCCACCACTTTCATCGAGCGATGGAGAACTGCTTCGATCCTTCAAACCCATGTTTTCATCACACTCATTCATGGCAGGATTAATTTTCCCCAATCCAAATACTGAGACCCAATACTCAGTACGACACTTTGTACCCAGACGTACAATACTTGAAATGGAAATCCAAGAAAAAGATCTCCCTCCACAGCTAAGTAGCACGAAACTACCAATACCTTATTTGCAGATCAATAACTGGAACCCTATTTAGAGAAGCTGGTTTCATAACATTAGTCTGAACCCTAGTTGCAGAATCCTAACTAGAGAAGCTGCTATCTGAAAAAGAATCGAAACCCTAGTTGCAGATCCCTGGGCAAGTAGGGTCAAACTACCAAGACCCAGCTCAAGTTAGACGATTAGAAACCATAATTGCAGGAACCAATATTTGAAAAAGAAACCAGGGCCGATTCAAGAAGCAGATAGTGGAAAACCAGATGCACAAATAAGGACTAAGAATCCAGCTGCAAAATCCAAATGGAGAGCCAAGTGATGAAAGCCTGAACATAGCCCTGGTTGATACTTAACCTCCCTCACAGATCCAACTGTCACCAAAGAACATAATCTATGGATAACAAAGATTATAATTCAAAGGAAATAGTTAACAACAAATAGCTCCCCAGGTCCGTATCTTGAATTAGGAGCTTCAACTTGAAAAAATAAATTCCTTTCCCAAAATTCAATCCCTCTAAAATAAATTCCTTTCTCAAAATTCAATCCCTCTAGCCAGAACCAGAGACTATCAAATCAATGGATGAGTCTTAACTGAAACCCAATCAATGGATGAGTCTTAACTGAAACCCAATCAATGGATGAGTCTTAACTTAACTGATTCGATGGCAGATACTCACACACCAAGCTCATTACAAGCCCTGAATATGGAAAAGAAGCAGAATCAAAACCCTAAAAGAAAAAATGAGCCAAAACAAAATCTACAGACAGCACCGGTTCAAGGAGGAGAAGAAGAAGGTCTTAATGGATCCAATCCTAGCAAACAGAATAGATTTAGAGTAACCCAAGAACTTACAATACGCAATTACTCATCAACAAAGGATTTCTCTACAAACCAAAGTTAACGAAAGGCAGAAATGGGGAACAAAATGAAAAAAACCAACCCGACTCAAAGGAAACCAACAGGAAAACCAAAGTTCACGAAAAGCAATGGAAAGAGAAAACAAAATGAAAAAAACCAACCTGACTCACAGTAAACCAACGGGACTCTTAAGGAAATCTTCAGTGGAAAAACCCACAAAAAATGTATAGATCACAAACCCATTTTCCTCAAATTTTCACCTATTTTTTTCAAATTCTCCACCCTATTCCCCAAAACCCTAACTTTTTGTATAACCACAGCCTAAAGAAAATAAGACCCAATTCCCCAAAACCCTAAAATTTTTGCATAAACACAATCTAATGATAATAAGAACCAATTCCCCAAAACCCCAAATTTTTATATAAAAACAATCTAAAAATCCAGCTTAACCCCATCTGGTAAAAGCCCACGCCCATCATAAATATCAAAGCTATGAGCCTTAATGTAAACACGAATGCCAAACCAAATAAAGCACAGTTGAGATACCCTATAAATGATTTAATGAACAAAGGGAACTACATCGAAATCACTGAGAAGTGGCTCGCGACAGAGAGAGATTACCCGGAAGATAGCGAGAGAGAAAGAAAGAGAGAGAGAGAAAGAGAGAGATGGGGAAGGAGAGAGATGAAGTGGTAGTGGAAGTAGAAGGTAGCAGCACTTGATAAAGATCTGATTAATAAGTAGAGGAGATCTGGTCATTGCTAGCGGGTAGACCGGATCAAAGGAATGCAGGCCGAGAAAGATGCGTCCATCAAAAAGGAGATAGACATGGTAGAGAGAGAAAACGCAGAAGAAATGAAAATGGCAAATGAGAAGTGTACGAAAGTGAAGACAGAATATTTGGAAAAACGCGGCAGAAAGAGAGAGAGGGGGAGGGAGAAGACCCAAGAATTAAAGAGAGAGAGAGGGGAAAAATCCAAGGAGTTAGAGAGAGAAGTAATACCTAAGGAGTTAGAGAGAGAGGAAAGACCCAAGGTGTTGAGAGAGGGAGAGACTCAAGAGTTGGAAGTACGAGTCTTTTGACCTGAGTGAAAAGGTGTGAAAACATGAAATCTCTTTCTTTTTTTTCTTTCTGTAGAAGATGAAAAATGGGTGACAGAAAAAAGCATTTAAACTTGATATTTCAGAAGAGAGAGATTTGATATGTAAGAGAGATAAAAATAGAGACGAGAAAACAGAGAGGAAAAATGAGTGTCAAAGAAGCAATAAACTTGATGGGAAGTAACTTTGATGAGAAAATAAAATGGGTGACAAGAGGAGCAATTAAACTCTGAGGAGAGAGAGAGAGAGATTTGTAAGGAGAAAAGGAGAGAGAGGATAGCTATGAGCATAGAGAAAGAGGGTTAGAGAGAAGTTGATAAGGATGAGAAATAAAATGGGTGACAAAAGGAGCAATTAAACTCTATGATGAGAGAGAAAGAGAGGTTGGTGTGGAGAAAAGGAGAGAGAGAGGTTGATAAAGAAACAAGTTGAGAGAGAGAGGATAGAGAGAGACCTGAATTAGAATTAGAAGGGCATTAACTTAGTGCCGGTCCGCAGGTTCGGAGGGGTGAGCTGGAAACGGTCTTAATTTTTAATGTTTTATATGTAAAATGGCCACTCTCTCAACTCAAACCTGAGCTCTTGCTTTTGTGCCGGTCTCGCTTACATAGGATCCGAAGGGCTGAAAACAGTCTTAATTTTTAATTTTTTATGCATTGGCCACTTTCTGGACGTGAACTTGCACTCTTGCTTTTGTGCTTGCTACCCGAGTGTTTTACCATCACACTAAGTGATGCCCCCTAGAGAGATCACTAAACTCATTAATAACAAGAGAAATAGCACTGGTAAGTGAAAATAACAATAAATTTTTTTAAGAAGCAAAAATTGATATATAAAGAGAGATAAATAATGGGAAAAATCAAAGTGGGGGATGATAGTAGGATTTTTCCTCTTTAAAAAAGTTACTAGGTTATGGAGATACCCCCAACATTTGGATTCGCTCCACTTTTTTCCTTCTTACTATCCAATATTAATATTACTTTTTTAGCCTTTTTTCTCTTCTCCTTTTTCCATCTTTTTGTTCTACTTTTTATTAATCTTAATCATATAAATATAATTGGTATAAATCCTAATATAGTACTCCTTAAATTGGAAATGCCTAGACCACCTTTACATTTTGCATGGCTTTATTTGATGGATTCCTTGGAGGCTAGTGAATTTTGTATTTTCCTTTGATTAGGAATATAGAGTCCAAATACTATGTTTTGGAAGAATATTTCCATTCAAGATGATGGAAATTTAGCAAAATTGTAATATATTTGTGAGAATATTTCCAATAAAACTTGTTTCCTACTTTTGGGAAATACCGATTTTAAGTGGCATTTTCTATGATTGATTATAAATAAAAGAGTCCATAAAGAAGAGAGAGAGTTTGCCTTTTTTGAGGGTATGTTGACATCCATAAAACCATGGCTTTCTTCTCATAATTAGCAAACATTTTTCTTGCTTTCAAATAACTTTGATGATGTTTGTTTCAGGAAAAGTATACAATGAGACTATTTTACTTTTAGTACAAGGTAGTTATAATTAATTTCAATCGTTGGATGTGAAGTTGGGTGGCTGCATTTATTCTTATTGACCAAACTCAAAATTGAAAATAAATTTTTTTGAACTTTGTGACACACCCAAGCTATCAGATTTCAACAGTTGTAAATACCAAATATAAGTAGTCTCATTATGTATAAAACTTTTTAATCCTGAAAAAAAAATCCCTAATCCTCGGCTTAGTCTTAGATATTTTAGTTTGGGTGTGGGGAGGTCAAGGTTCGACCCTTTAAAATTTGTTGTAAAAAAAAGCGAATATATCTTAGGCTGAAGGGTGGATATATTTTTTTGGGTGAGGGAGGTCGCGAGTTCGAACACTTAAAATTTGTCCCTAAAAAAGCCTAAACAACTTAACCTAGTACTTACTTTTTTATCTGTCTAGATATATCAGTTTGGGTGAGAGAGGTAAGGGTTCATGCGTTTGAAATTTATTTCAAAATGCCCAGCAAGTTAGGTTTAGCTTAAAAAAAGAAACAGGACGTGATAAGGGCAATTTTGTAAATAATGTACAATGTGTTTCACACTTAAAATGAATATAAATAGGTTTAAGATCTCTTAGTTATATACTAAATGCAGCAAGCCTTGATTAATAGTTACCATTAATTATGATTGATCCGTTATTTGCATTAAATGATTAGTCACTTTGTTCATAGACTTAAAGGAACGTACCCTATGGGGAACGGAATCGTTCTCCTTTTAAGGTTATTATTATCAGTTGTTTGTTTGTTATTAAGTTTGTAATAGTCAAATGATAATATACTCCTTCAAGAGTATACAGTCTATTTACTCCATCGGGTAAAATCCTACTTGGGATTAATGTTTAGGACCCAAATTTTGGGGATATAATATCTTTAACATATAAATTAACTTCAATAAAAAGAATTTCCTAACTTCACCCTCCAAGAACTTGAAAAAAACAATGTCACGAGGTTGAATAGAAACCGTATAGTATTTAGTAATAGGTGGACTTTTGATAACAAAGTTTTGGAAGTGGATTTGATCAAAAGAAAAATTATGCAATTGGTGTAGAGTTGGTTCTATGTGGTGTAGAGTTGGTTCTATGTGACAAAAGAAAGGTTTTGAGTAACCAAAGTGGATGTGGAGATTAATCTGCATAACTTGATGCTTCAGAATGTGTCGAACGTTAGACCAAAGGCAGATGGACCCCTCTTGTATTGGGATATCAAACTTAATTTTGATGGGAGCTCTTTAGGAAATCCAGGCCCTTCTGGGGTTGGACGAATTTTTCGCATTGCTGATGGAGAGGTGTTATTTTGTTTTGCTGGATCATGTGGGGAGGTAACGGCTAATGAGGAGGAATAGATTGCATTAGAATGTACAATTCGACTTTTACAACAGAAAAACATCATGATGCCACATTTTGATGATGCCACATTTTGTAGAGGAGGATTCATTGAATGTGATTAATTGGTATAAAAAGATGTCCAGATCGCCTTGGAGGTTGAGGAGGAAATGGCTAGATACTATAGATATATGTGATAGTCTACAATCTGTTTTTAGCATGTGTATAGAGAAGCTAATGACATTGCTGACAGTTTGGCAAATGAGGGGTGTCTTTACATCAGGCATTTATTTCAGATGTTTTTCCATTCTGACTGGTTGTAACTTTTGATTGATTAATAAGCATGAGTAACATCGTCAAAAAAAAAACCATACAGTATTTAGTGGGTGACTATAAGCATTAGAAAACTCAATTTTTTTTATAATAATTATATAGAGATTGTTACCAATTGTTTAGATTGGAAAAATCTGACCAAAAGAGTAGAAGAGTAGAAGTGAACTATACCCTTGAGGGGGCATAGTATACCTGCTCTTTAAAATAATGTAATCATTATCTTGCAAGATTTTTATTCCCACCCATGTTTTGAGTGGCAGTAGAAAAAATATGGTTGTAGAAAGTAAAAACATTAATGCAAATAGAAGTCAATGAGTCTTGTTGTTGCAATTAAGGTGCCAATGGTTATGCACCTTGTGTTTCGATGAACCTTTGATTTTTTTTTTTAAAGTTGTTTATTTCAAAGGAATAAGCTTTAAGGAAAAAGTTTATATAAGGTTGCAACCTTAAAATGTAGAATTATATATGCATATAAAAAATCCATCAGAAAAGGTTGTTTTGGTGTTAAAGAACCTTCTAATTGATCATCTCGACAACGAGATGTATGGATATAAAAAAATATATATATTGAGTTCCAGAAATAGTGCATCTTGCAGCACATTATCTAGACCGTCCATTTTCAAGATTTTTCATTTATTTATAGATCTACTTGATTGTAACTATTTCTTGAGTTTAAAATTTTATAATTAGTTGTGAAAATAGACTTTAAGACAATCCTAATATTTTTTTACACCAAAATTATATGTTATGATAAAATTTGGATATGCGCCTTAATTGGATTGTTTAAGGTTACAAATTTATAGAAACCACACCCTAAGCTTAAATAAGGCATCAACTATGTACATAAGGTTCACTTTAAAAACCCACAGGAAAAATGATGTTTCGGCACTGAAAAAAAATATATCCTCAAATTGGTCATCATTACCTTGAGAAGTGTGAATACAAAAATAAAAAACATTCAAGTTTTAAAAATAATGCATCTTGTAACTATCATATAGATGGTCTATTTACAAGATTTTAGAGTGTTATAGATCAAATCCATAAGGACATTTTCGAAGCTTTAAATTTCATAGTTATGGGTAGAAATTGACTTTTGGACTACCATAAGGGTTTTTGGCAATAGAATTGCATCTTCCAGCACAATATAGAGGTAAGTTGATTAGTTAAGGTTAATACCTTTTGTAAATGACATTTAGTTTTATTTATTTATAGTACGAAGAAGTCACAATCATTTTTAGCCATTAGATGTGAGATTCAATAGATGAAATTACGTCACAATATTCGAAAAATTTTATTTTGGACTTTATGTTCAAACAATGACACATTCTCAACCACCCAATTTCAAATTTAACGAGCAATGATGATTGGGACCTCTTTGTATCAAAAGTAAGTGGTCTTGTCATATACATTTCTTTTGTAAATTGGCCACTATTTTTAAATATTGGGACCTCTTTGTATTAAAAGTAAGTGGTGTCGTCATACACATTTCCTTTATAAATTGGTCGCTCTTTCTAAATATGGGTTTCAATTATATGAATATTTTGGACTTATGTATTTCAAGAGAAATGTGGATGTCTCAATTTCTCATGTTATAGTACATGTGACCTTAGGGTGTTATACCCATATTTTTTTAAGGAAACTTTTATAAGAAAAAATGTTTTAAATATTAATTATTTAACATTTTCTCCATTTTAAACCATTCCAACTCATGATCATTTGTCCATTGATAGAGTAAAGTGGTGGACTATGATTCTTGTAGCCAACCTCAAATAGTTGGAAAAACTCTATAGCGATGATGATCACACATTTTAAACCATTCGACTCATGATCATATGTCTTTGATTTTAAATCAAAATGTATGGTAAGATGTCAAATATTTAATCTTTTTAGATGATTTATGATAAATTACTCTATTTTAAAATTCAAGAAAAAAAAGTAGGTCCCCAACATAAGGATTTCGAAATACCTTCATTTCACTAGGTATAAAAAGGCACTCATAAAATTCACGTGCTTTACATAATAAGACTTGGGCACTTAATGCCTTATTTGATTACTTAACACACCCCAAGATTCATGGGTATTTCAAGAAAACC